TTCCGAAAATTATTACTTAAATTAAACCTCGCGACTTCTAACATACACAATAAAACAAACAATATAATTACAGTATATTTATCTTCGTAATTGTACAATGTAATACGTGGCTCAATCTCGGTATATTACGGGGAACTAAATTACTTTTTTTCTCTGTGCTTCAGAACCAGGGATTACGCAAAGGCGACCTTTAGCTCTGGGCGATTTTTCCGCCCCAGCTCTTTGGGCGTGGGCCATGCTTTAGACATCTTGCTCCCTTTCACAAAAAACAACACTTCTTTGTACTTAGAAATAACTTTTTTGACGGTTTAAGTTTACATAATTAACACAGCAATTTTACAATTTACTGAAACAACACGATTTGAATTTGAATATTTCTTGTCTGTTATTTTAATATACATTTACATAATTATGTTTTGCCCATAGATAATAAAAGCTGACGAACATCGAAATATTTTTCGTATAATTATGATAATTATTCATACTATATCAAATATATTTTTTACAAATATTTTAGTTTAAATTTTAAAAACATGTACAGTATATTTTTGGCGAAATAAATACGTAGCAGTGATTAAAATAAAACGAGGCAGAAATCGTAACATTCGTAACATAGGTACATATTTTTAAAGAATTAACGAACATGTCTTACTTCGGGGCGTACATTCACAAGCCCACATTATAATAGTATTTCGCAATGTTTTCGGATAAAAGTTTCTTTATAATTATTTCCGCTACTGTACGAACGAAGGTAATCTCATTTTACGTGGGGGCTTTTAATAAAGATGTCGGTACATAAATCCTCATCACGAAAAATATTCCACCTTTATAAAGTATGAGAAATGCCAACATTTCTCCTCCAATCCGTTCGTACACGACCAAAACTGTAGAAATTGTCTACCCACGCAACAAGAATTACATTTGAAGCTTTTATAGAACACGAAAACAACTAACAAATTCACATTCAGCCGCCTCGAGGCTCAGTAAGAGTCGATTTACACATTACCGGCGGCTACCAGGGAAATTGTATATGCGGACTCCGCAATGAAACAGTATACTTACTTTGCATAAACTGTACCGTTTCTGGAAGGTCTATGCGATCAATGTCGCCGACAACATTATTTTGGGCTCACGAAATTTCCACATCCTCCCGCTTATCGTCTTTGAATTGAATACGTTCCAAGTAAATAGGTTATATAAGACAACATACGCCTTATGTAAACTGACAAGCTAAACGCGCTCGTAACGAAGCGGCATATTGATAAACGATTACATTAACAAACTACTAACAGTTTCAACAAGGTCAGGAGTCAAAATTAATTTACAGTATCAGGTATCGCGTACGCAAACATGGTTTGGAAATTGATCGCTTGCGACCTTGCGCGGGACGATGTAAGGCGACCCTTATTCGAGGCCCAGTGATTCTGTCACCTTCGTTCAGCTGCTGTTATTACACGCAGACAGCGGTAGACACTAATCTCTTGAACAAATATAAGCATTTGTCACCATCTGTCTGTCGCTTTATGCCAAATACTACAGAATGCCGTCGCGTATGTAATGTTTACATTTCACTGAGGGCGCTCCCTAAATGATTTAATTTCTCATTCTATATTTTCGTCTCGTTTGTGGTGGATTTTCAGTAAGTAATTCGGAATGAACAGGAGCTAATTACAAAAAGAGGCTGAGTTGTTAGATTTTATTATGATTGGTTCGAGTTATGAAGTGTTTGGTAAACACGTAGTAAAAGTAATGTATTTACTGAGAAACAAAGAAAATATTTACGGGTCACGGCACGTAGGAGAGGTTTACTTATCTTATTTACACGTTTTATTTGGCCGGCAAGCCATTAATTATCAATTATAGCGTGTGTTTTCGTTACAATGTAAGCGACTATTGAACAAAAACGAAACATTAACATTAATTCGTTTTGGGCTGAAGGATAATTCATTAATATTAGAACGTCCAGCTGCTACATCTGGTGTCACTAACCATACTAAATGGATTCCGTTCTAGCATAGAAATCTTTATAATGCTATTTGTATACGAACAATGGGGCGATACACATTAACACATGCTAAAAAATTGCGCTCGATTGAACGTTCCCCCCTCGTGCGTTTGCGAATTGTCATATGTGACGTATGATATGGTGGTAAAGCTGACGCGTCGGGGTCGCTGTTCCCGAGGTGTCTATTATTTATCATAACCCATCAATTTGTTTCCGTGACTGATGAGTGAACGCCGCAGACCGCAAGCTGTACGCCAGATAATCGAGCGTTTAATTGTTCCCTCGCTTTATACGAGCTGAGAGTACTGCGTGACGCGAGCGAAACTGCGATGTACGCCATTTAAAATTTTGACACACATCCCCTGAAAGCTCTTTTGAATTTCTGCAACACTTTTTTTCTGACACGAAAAAATGCTTTATTCACTTTGATGATTATTCCCCGGGCACTTTTAATGGCTGACACAATTAAGTAGATATAATTGTGCTTAATTTTATTATCAAAGTTAGGTCAGAATGGTTTGAGTGAAAAATGTAATGTCCGTCACAAATTTTGGTTCCGTATTTATTAAATAACTTGAGGACGTAAAATAGAAGGTGTTCTATTGAAAATTGTACGATCAATAACAACTGGTGAAAAAGATGCTTACCTACTTTATTTTCCTTGGAAAAAAATAAGATTATGTGCATTGTCATGTGGTGTTCATCCAACAATATTCAATCATATTACGTACGTACTCATATCACTCGCACCTATCGCTCAATAATACAGACTTGAATAGGATCCCCGCTTTCAATCACAGTACTTCGTACGACAATAATCCATGGGGATTTGTAGCAAACGGTCCAATCCCAAAGTTTACGCGCCCGGATCTGGGAGTCGCAGCTTATTCGTAATAATTAGCCACGTACAAATGTTTCCCGCGAACCTTGTTTGCGGATTTCCTCATCTTCTTTGTAATCAGCACTCCAAATTGTTATGTACAACATAAACGTTACTGTAAATCATTGTTTTTAAAGTAATCCTATAAAAATATACCATTACATTTTACGGCTGCATAACTCTGTGAAGTTGAATTTTCATTTTGGTAACTGACAAAGTTTCCCGTTGTTAAACTGTGGCGGTCATTAAACTTTTGAAAAACCGACGATGTAGGAGCGGAGCTATGCAGCGACCTCTAATAGGATTGGGGGACTTGTGACAAGTGATATTTATTAGCACACCCATATTGTTGTTTGTGATAAATGTGCTCCCATTATGGCACTACCTCTACCACCTGACATGGAATTTCATTTAAAGAAGAAGCGGCCCATATTCCTGCGTTCCACTTGCTAATTTTGTTAGGCGATGAATCATGTTTATGAGACAGCCACATTTTTCTGCGTGCAACTCCGTGCTCTATAAAACTGATTTATTTATTTATCATTTAGGCAAATAGCTCGTGTGATACCTACGTGCGTAGCCAACTTTCGCTCTATTCATATATTTTTCATGTGAAATATATTGCTTTAGTTATCATTTATCAAATATCTAATCAACTTTCTTTATATAAAATTTAAGTCGTGCACGGGTAAAAAACCAAACTACCTCTAGAGTTAATATTTTTCACATTTATAGTCAACGAGAATTGTTCTAAATATACATAGACACGCCTACTTTCATAACGTTTTACAATTAATGTTATTACTATTATATCTACGAACTATCCTGTGACCGTGCTGTTTTAATAAGAACTAATGCGTTCATTACGGCAGGCGTTACCGTCGGCGTGGGTGTTGCCTTCTAATCGTGTGGTTCATACATAAAACAATAACCAACAACATGATATTATATAAATTACCTACGTCACTATTATATCTAGAACAGGGTTGTCACGAACTGATTTGAAAGTATGTGACTTTACCTACTTGCTGTTTAAGTATAGTTCTTGAAAAAAGTAAGAGAACCGTGATCCGATTCCAATCAAGATTAAAGCGGTGTAACTAAATTTAATAAAGGGATACCTCTAGATCATTGATACAAAGACTACACACGCATCACTAACAAAAACTACAGACTTTCAAAGATGGCTGAAATCAAATATATCATAGGTATGTCATACACACTAAACACATAAGTGAACTGAAATCCCATCGAGTCACATATATCTTTGGTAAGTAATACTTAGGTATGCGAAACTTGTAGGTTCTCAGTAACTTGCTAAAAGTTCAGCGAGAGTACTTTGTTTAGCCTGGATATATGAAAGTCAGAGTTTCAGCTGTACTTTGTAAAGTACATGTTTTACTTCTTCAACTTAATCTATTTTTCAAGCGACGAGTGTTGAACGTGGGTCTCGGTTTTTAAAATTAGAATGTGTGCTTTTTTCTTGTCGTTGACTTTTTTTTGTCGTTGGCGGAGTAAAAAGGTTACATGTGAAACTTAATCCTTAGTCATGATATGTATTTAAGGTAAAATTTCTGCTGTTATATTTCTACAATAATAAACTCCTTGAATTAGCCCTCTTCCATTTTTATTTTAAAATCAAACCTTTGTTTTTTATTCTAACCTTTAAATATAATACTGGCAAACAAGGTAATTAAAAAAAATGCAAAGAATTAATTAGACAGGCCGCAATGTTGTTCCATTTTTAAATTATACGTTCTTATCCTTGTATTATTATTATTATTTTTCCTACTTTTTCATTGTGGTTCGTAATTTCGTGTTAAAAATATGTTTTAATTCTTGGTAAGATGTAAATATTTATTTATTGAAAGACTTGAAAGCGATTTCATATATTTTAAAATATTGTTATTGGTATATTATTGTTGTAAAATAGTATAAATTGTGACTTCAACGAAATATTTTTGCATACTCGCGAATGGCTGTATCAATCACCAATTTAATTTCGAATAAATAATATACGCATCACATAAATAATAGATACTACTTATAAAATAATCAACATTTGCCCGTGATTATTAAAATAAAATTTCTAACAATACATTTCTCTTTATTTCCAGGAACAATCTCACAAATCGTACCGTCCTTTGACGGTGCTGACCTTCAGATGGAACTACGCCATCCACGGCCTGCAGCCGGCAGGCTACCACCTCGTCAACTTGTTGTTACATGCCCTCGTCTCACTACTATATTACAGGTATTGTTTAGCTCATTAACTACCTTATTTTGTTGTACTAAGGTCGAAATAACTAGAAATATCCGCTGTAGGTTGTAAATATGGTCCCGGTTTTAGTAGATGTAAAGGTGACCTGTGTGGTTTTAGTCAGTTCGAGTTCAACAAAAAGGGTCAATAAAACCGGATCAGAATGACAAGAAAAAACTAATATAACTAATGTAATTACATTTAAAATGTGCAACTCTGCTTACCATTTCGTTGAATAAAAAATAGCTTAAAAGATTACTCTCTTTCATAATTAGTACATAATCTTGTCATCCTTTAACAAAATCTGTGGTAGCTGACAAGTCACAGAGCAGAGAGCTTGGCTCACACTTCCAACGAACATAATACGAATATGCAATTATAAAGGCAACACAAACTAAATTAGTGTAACAAGTAATTACGCTGGCGTCGCTATCGAGATTTTCCTGATTTTCATAACAACACAAACTTCCACTGTATTCGACTTCAACTTTTTGTTTTATAGTGAGAGCAAATTCCAACTTTTGATTGTATAACAGAAAATCGGCAGTGCGCGGCCAAACTCAGATCTCGTTAAAACTCCAATGACTTTACCGCCTAAATGGGATTGATTAAAGAACGCAGGAAGGCTTAATTGGATGAGAAGGGCTTTCAAATCTCTAGTGCTTGAGAGAATGAATAATTATTTCATATTTATTTACCCTCAGGGTCAGATCTTAATTGGTGGAGACGCTGTGTGCCTGGTTATTTCATTCAAAATTGATGAATATATTTTCTATAATAACTTCCTCTTTAAATTGTTATAAGTGGACTTCATATACCTTAAATAGTTTGACCTATTTAGAAAACTAACTATTTAAATATGGCCTCTGTACATAAGTATTTACCTAGTTTATTTCGTTTTGTTTTATATTTCTTTTGTAGTACTTTAAAAGTGGTTAGTATACGTACCAATTATCCGATTCTCATCTAAAATTCAAATGTAATCGTATACCCAGACAACTATGTAATTACGGTCTTGTGTTTCAGTCATTGTTTTGGTGAATCAATACACATATTTATATAAAGCGTATTCCTAAGTAGGCTGTTTCAAGAGGGCCACACAATGACGTAACATTGATTAATATGAAAGTCCAATCAGAGTTGACCGACGTTGTTAACCCGTAATTGATAATTGAATAGCAAAACTTTTAATTGTAAGGACTCAATAATCCACTGTTTGAACCGAAGTAGGCGTGGGTTATTTAATTATTCAGTACAATATACCCTTGATCGGCAGGTTTAGGGTTGTTTACGGCACCAGTGAGTGAGTTTTAATTTATTTTTGCACTGTAAATTGTGTTAGCGCGTTGCAGTGTGAGGGTTAAAGGAAGGGTGAGCAGTGTGAATCCCGGTCGTGTCGAGGATTTTATTTTGCAAGGTTGCTCGTTATCGTTCCTCAAATTGCACGCATCGCCGTCTGCTGACGTACGATCCTGATTGATACAGAGAAATGTTGGGCAAAAATTTTATGTTTCCACTCGTTTTTCGATATGTTGCAATCTGAATCTATCTTCTCAAAATCGAGACTTTTATATGGGAACTATACGTTACGACTGAACGCTAAATAGGTCACGTTGACCCAAATCCCTTGTTATAGCAACAGAGAACCGAAGAAACAAACGACCTCCAATTAAGATCGCATGAAAGTTAACTGTAGCTCTAAATACATAATTAATTAATGTAAACGATCTCGCAATGTACATTTGATTTGGGTGTTATTGCTTTTAAAACAGGAGTGTAATAGGAGGGCGGTGTTGTTTTCATTAATAAGTAGTTACGATTTGGGTCAGGCTTGCAGCGCTGCCTGGGGCCACCAACTGCTCCAGTTAAGCCAGTTTTAATCAGGCACCGTACGCCCGATCCCCTTAGTTACTGCTAATTACGGATACTTGTTGTCCACCGCGAACTTAGCCTGGCTTATGCTCAATATCCAATTTGCCAGCATAATCCTATTAACGATTTTCGAGCTCTCATTATTATTCTAGTCCGGCGGACTAGTTACAGAACGTCTTGCGGTCTCTATTTGTACATATGTATTTACAACTTCCCTTTGATAGCCAACCCATATAAACTGTTACGATTCGATAGCAAACTTCAAGTGAAAGGAAAACTTATAGTTAAAATCTACGAGGCGACGCGGTGGTTTCATATTTCGAAAAGGAAATACTGGCGGTTGGCTTTTGTGTGCAACTCCTTACAGTTGTTATGAGTACCTTTAGAAAATACAGAATCCATACGAACACCATACCTAAACATTTTCGTACACTAGAATTGTTCCATCTAAAATGTGCCGACATTCCGAAAATATTCGGCCGTTCTTTACATAGCTCCTGGGTGGCAAATATCGCTGGTATTTCTATCCATTCGGGCTTAGTTCGGGTCGAAACGGAGCACTATAGCCCGTTAACAGTCTTTACTGGTGTTTCTGGATGTGTTAAACTTCGCACACAAATGACACACTCAAAGCTATATCAACGTTTGAACGTTCTGATTTGTTGAAGTTCTGACTTGTATCGAGGCGAGGCCATTCGTATACCTGTCGTGTTCGAAGCAGGTACACGATAGCATTACGTCAACAACTTGTTTACGCCACTCAAAAGTTTTTAATATGCTTAGTGTCGAGCTCACTCCAATCATATTAGAGTATCAGGCGGAAATTTTAGGCTGCCACATTATTTGCAACTCGAAAATGTTCAACTTGAAACTTATAATGGAATTACTTTCGAATTCATGGCTCGCTACCGTTTGCATGCGGAAACCCTAATTTGAAAGTAATGCATGTTTTAATATAAAACTTCTTGCGTTCACCTGCGTTACCGGCCCTATAGATGCAAACCACGTAAACACAATGTTTTACAGAACTGAGTAAACAAACTAGCTGAAAGAGATATAAATACCGGGTCTAGGGGGAACATGAGAGCGATGTAATTACCCGGCCAAGTAGGCAGAGTTGATAACGTAAATATTAATTATTGAAATATTCGTGGACCTTAGATATAACCGTTAAATTCTCGTCGGAATAATAATCAAAGCAACTTGAGCCAAAGTAAGGGAATAGGCAAACAAGAGAATTTGTTACGTAAGACACGAAGGCTGTTTGGGCCATTCATAACGTAATGGAGCGAGAGAGCCGGCACCGGAGAGCGCGCAAAACTTTTTACCGCGGAGTTAAATTAGTTTTTCATAGTACCCGTACATCTCCTGTCATATAGTTACTTGCCGGTTTTGTCTTATTCGCGCATGCGAGTAATTAATTACATTTAGTAATTAATTTAGTCGTAATGCGAGTGTATCGTTATTCAGGAATAATTGAGCCATTTATTAATTAAAACTCCCTAGATACGTAATTATGTTGTGTGGGGCCGGATCGCTTGTGATCATAATGTAACTGAGGTTCAGTGGATAACAAATCGTATGACGATATTGAGCAAAAATGTAATCAAACAGATGAAAGGCCAAAAAAGTTATCCTAACAGCGCCCCCTATTTGGTAAAACCATAAAAAACCTAAACGTTAGGTACGCTTTGCTGTTGTACACATTTACATACGCATATTTGCTTTTACTCAGTTTTATGAACTCGAAAACGTTTTAGTGTAAAGAGTTTATATTTACAAGTTCCATCCCCTTTCATGTAAACTAAACTACCTATAGTGGCCATATAATATTATTGAGATATAAAGCATACAAAAATATTTTGTTTATTTACGAATCAACAAAAGCGGTAACCGTTAGAAGCCGATAGTGTATAAATTCGCAATTCTCTTTTTCATATATTATATATTTTGCCGCGGAAGTATATATTATGTATCTGAGCACGCCACCGAGATAATTCAGACATTTGAAGTAAGTACGTGACGTCACAACCCGCCGTTAACCTGTAACCGCTCCAAGCCATACAACACACATAAATCGCCCGCGAAGATAAACCTAAGAACAAACAAAAGAGAGCAATAAATAGAAAAATATAAGAGCCGTAAAAGTATATGACGAGAACAAAACCGCTGTGACGATTTGCGATCCCTCGGGTACCATTACCGGTACATACTCTTTATTGCTTCCGTATTTTTCTCCTTTCATGGTGACGTCATCAATGAATACATTATGTCTATTTGATTGATTGCTATGTGGTTGCTCGCAGCGTTAGCGAGCCCCAGGCGTGTTACCAATTAGGCCAATATGTGAGTCGGCCAATCCGTGATTGTCGAGGGTTCGGTTACGATGAAGAATGGCGCTAAATTATCGATGGTGCTCGTTCTTGGCGCTGCTTTGGTCGTGTTTCCGAAAACATGACCGGTATTGTTCCACTATTTATGTATGTGCAGCTGCAGTCCGTACTACAGAACAGGAAACGACAAAATGTGTATTGTTATGGTTTCTCTGTAGTTTATTTTAAAAAACATGTGAGCCTGGGAAACTGAGTGGTAACAAGTGCCAAAAAAATGGTTGCTAGGAGGTCACAGACAGTTAGGGCTCGCCCAGTATTACTTGGAACTAATAACGCAACAAAGGCAGAAGTGGGTGTAGGAGACACCCACCACTTTCGTCAGTTAGGAGACGATATGTTTTGTGTGTTTAGGTCAAACTCGTTCAAAGTATTATTAAGGCCATATTACAGTGTTATAGAAATAATCAAATAGTATATGTATCTATCGGTTTTTTCCTATATTTATAGCATATTTTTCCATCTCGGTTCGGGAGTAAGATAAACGATGCGTTACTCCAACACTTCATTTGTCAAAGGAGGTTGAAGGGTGTGCGCGAAAGTGATGAACACCCACTTTTTCCCAGTATCTGTCGTTAATTTAAATTTGTGTCTTACACCCTACAGTGACAAATCACGCACGCAATCATTATTCAAAATATTTTGAGTAATTTGTGCGAAAAAAAATTAACGTTATATTTAGATTTTTGTGTGGTCGTTATCAGGCAGATTTATAGGATATCAACCACAGAT